ATATTGATTAATGATATTATATAATAATATTTTCTTATTATAATTCCTATTACAATAAATTTAATGAACGACCTAGTGAATGCATCCATTTTTTCGATTAATATAGACGTGAACGCGTTCATTTGAAAAAAAAACTACAGCGTGAACGTGAACAAGTTACTTGTTTCAAGGATGTATACAACAGTCAACAACCAAAGAATTCAAACAATTATGGGACTAAATTTGAAGGAGAACTAATATTAAAAAAATTGTACAAATTTAAATTTGGTCGGTATTTATTGAAAATATTTAAAATTGATTACGTAAGTACGTACGGCTTCTTCACGTTATGGTGAATATATAAGTAACCGCAAGACAACTACGAATTATAATGCGTAATGTTATACAAAAATAATAATAATACAAAATTCGACAATAGTGTTTAATCTCCACTCAGTATTTATTGTGTTATATACATGTTATTTTATTATTAAACTGGGTGACCACATCTTGCATAATATATAAGCGTAGAGTGTTAATATGATAATCGGACGAGATGCAGCAGTCACGCGAATTCTCGTCGGCAATACCTATCTGCCCGTCGGTCGATCGGTTGTGCCGCCTCCCGTCCATTTCCGGTTTCCGGCTGAATCCAGAGCATACACATACATATCGCAAACGCACGATCGTTATAATAATAATAATATGTGGGAGTAAATTAATAATAATATATACATAATTCTAATATCACATAATGTTATATGACCCCCTCGAAGACAGAGTGCTGAAGAGGCTGTGGCGCAGATCGGGTTCCGTTTGACGTGAAAGCCCACCTCGAGCTCACGGATTACGCGTCCCGTGCCGCGTGTAGTAGCTATTAGTGCGTGATTATCTTTCTCTCTCTCTCTCTCTCTCTCTCTCTCTCTCTGTAGTTAGGACATTAAGGACTTAAGCCCCTCGCGCGTGTGTCTACTTATCTCAACCGCGTGTGTATAATATAATATTGCATATTATTATAGAATGTGATCACGGACGCCGTTCTGCAACGTCGATCGACGTCTTAAATATTATTCGTTTTAGCCGATTTTCGTTGAGCTGTAACCACGACAAAATAGATAGGTATCAATCATATGTACATATGGATATATAACATGGAAATAAATCAACCAATCAGAAGTTGAGAACTACGGAATGGGGCCCGGAGGTGAAAGAGATGCGCATACTGAAAATAACTATTGCAACTGTGATGATATATCTATTTATGTTGTCATGTATTATACCTATATACAGTATACACATTTCACATTTACCGGATCGACCCAAGTAGGTATAACTTAAACTTCCAGTGGTGCAACTGGGAGAGAGGGGGATTGTGAGTTGTGAGTTGTGACCCATAAAATGTTTTTTAAAAGTCAAGTTTGAAAATTGTTTTATTTTAATATAATTATATAATTATTACGAACCACTGTGAGTTGTGATCTATGCCAAAAAAGTACTTATATTGCAATTCGGTAAACCCAGACATATAATAAACTGTTTGAAAGTATTCGAACCTCAACACACCAATTGTAGTGTAGAAGGTATAAAAATATGCAACACATTTTTGTAAAATAAAATATTACCTGTTATATTGTATAATGGATATTGTTATTATTATTATTATTATTATTATTATTATTTACTACGTCTAAAACCGTATAATTAATAGTTATACATTAGTAGGTAGGTACGTAATATTATATACGTATAAGTATGTGGTACGCCGAACCTATTGGTCTATCTGTGCAATTTAACAGAATATCTACTAATTGACATATTCAAACGACCGATAATTATATCCGTGTACCCTATGGAAACGGTTTTTTTTCGTATCATTAATTAAATACCTAAACCTTGTTTACTAAGTATCAAGTCTTTTTAATAACCTTGATATTTGAAACTTAATGGTAAAAATATTATCTGTGTTAGTAAGTTGATTTTTAAGATGATTCAATTTTTAAGTGAGTTATGAACATTTTTTAACCACACTATTTTTTTTATATGCTTAAAACTTGCTAAAAAATTGAACTATCCTAAAACACCAACACACGAATACAGAGATGGATAATGTTGTTTCCATTAAGTTTCATAATAGGTATAGATTCACTCAATAATTTTTAAACTAGTGAAGCTAAACTTACGCTACTGAGCTTACATTTTCTATGTTGCACACTTGTAAGACGGAAACAACTAATGTGTGTGCAGAATCCTCTTAATCACAGAATTATTTTGCACAACACACTGCAGCTACACAATTATATGTATATATATAGTATTATATTGTACAGAACCTACATGCCCCATGCGATATACTCTAGGCAAATCGGAAATAAAATTATCGCACCCGACACATTGTGTCATTACAACATTTAACGAACTGACCGATTTATACATGCACAAAATAATATAATCATATTGCCTAATTTATTTAATAGCGTACTTTCGTCATGAATTTGTGCGAGCGTATTCTGTTTGAAAGACACGCGAGTCTACTCGACTGTGGTATTCGTGTAACTGCAGTATAACATTTTATGCTGGCAATTTTACATCACGAGCATCATAAAACCAAGTCAGTTTACACGAGAACATAAAAAAAAACCCTCCCGAAAGGCAATCGGTGGTGGTTAAACAATAATAATAAGCTCGTTATTGTTAGACCATCTATTTTGTGACCATTGCGTACCCGCGTGGCGCGTACCCGCGGTCTTTACTTTCTTAACGTCTTAATAAAAACTAAAAAGTGGCATTGTTATGTTATTAAATGTAAATACATAATATACTTTACGACAATGTATATCCCGTCATGTCAGATAATTTGCTGGTGTGTATAAACACATTTTATTATTCTCTGTAGTCTGTATATTTCTCTGCTGTATACAATATACTTGTATATTACAGTGTATAATAAAAAATAATATGTTAAACACTTTATTCTCTACGTGTATGTGTGTGACACGGCGAAAAGAATACTTTTATATACGCAAAAACGTATATTTTATTGTATTTTAAATATGAAAAACATTATTGTAAAACGAGAGTACAAAATATCTTATATTATAACTTATTATTATGTTTTTGTATAATACATATAATACGAGTATCATTATTTATTACGAATGATAAATTATGATATAAATTAATTCTATATGAAATAAACTTTGGGTAAGTAGGTACACACATTATTTGATAAGGTTTAATATAATAATATTTTAAGGTTCATAATTGTCTAATAATAGCTTAATGCTTCAGAAATATTATTATTTTTTTATAAACCGTTTCTATTATACCTACTTATCAGTTATCAGGTTTATTTATAAGCTGATTGCCTGTATTTTTAATGAGCCTCCAGATGTAAGGTATAATTAATACATAGAGTACAAAGAGCATAATATTATGAATATTATTATATACTTGAAATATTGGATACATTAATACATACATTGTTATAACAATAAACTACATTTTTTTTCGAATATCTAAAAATTAAGCAAGTCATTTTTTTCATTTATTTGAAATTTTGAATATTGTATAACTATACGTTACTTAAATTTTATTTAGATAGTCTATTTAGTCTTTATAAGCCCTAATTATAAATAATAGATGTTTAACATTCCAAAAATGATGAATTTTAAAAATAATTTCTTTTACAATTTAAATAACGTACAATTCACATAAATAGAAATAATTAACCCCAGACTTTAAATTAATAAGCTTAATTGTTCTATAATTGCAGAAACGGTATTCTAATATTTTTCGATAAATATTTATCTATTTGATAACTTATTTTTGCGAGAAATTGGGAAACGAGGAAATATATTATTTAATATCTTAAAAAAGGTAGTATAATATACTAAATACTTAAAATGTGAAAATTCAAAATATACACTAAAAATGTTTGCAATTATCGCGATCTAGTGATCACTGATCGCTGATCATAAAACGTCAAATTTTAAATACCTGCATGCAAAGCCCAATATATAACATCTGAAATCATATTAAAATAAACAATCCATATTGATAATAAGTATCATCACAAAAACTATGAGTAAAATAATTAGTGGCTCACTAGTTAATACCAAAAGGAACAACCAAATTATCTTAAATATTAAATATATATATACATTGTTTTATTTATTCACTTGAAATGAATATCTCCGATGATATACCTATGTGTAGAACTCGGAACTCTTAACCAGTAATTACATACATCACACAAAATATATAGATGTATATTATTGTTATAAGTTGTTTATATTTTGTGGTCGTACAACTCGTTTGTTCAAATATAACAAAAACAATATTATATACCACTGTACCAATATGCGAAATTTCATTCTCCATAAATATATTGTTATGGTTTCGCAAGTCCGGTATGTCGTTTACCGACATGTTTGTCGTATAAAAAAAATAAAAGCGAGAAAATCGAAATTCAAAAAAAAAAAAACCCCATGGTCGAGGGATGGGTGATTGGCGTGTATGGGAGAAGGTGTTGATGCCGGAAGGAACGAGAGCAAAATCCGATTTCACTGGTAACTGCTGTAGAGCCGGCGATGGCGTCAGCTGCAGCAGATATACCTAATATACGAGTAAAACTGTAGGAGCCATAGACGTGGCTATCGCAATTCACTAGACAGAGTTCCTATTCCAATTCACGTCAGCGGGGACGTTTACGTTTTATGTTTTATTATTATTTAGCAAACGGCAAAGCGTGTACCATAACCGGGGGTACAATATATGTCCTACATGTAATCTCTAAATGTGAAACCGTAGGCGCCCGGAGGGTGCAAGATTGGGGCATTTGCAGCCCTGGGTTCTTAAAAACCAGTCATGATACATAAAGCAATAGTTTTATAATTTATGTGCAACACAATACCTATATAATAGGAATAAATATTGTTTCGGTGACCTACAAGTTATAAACATAAATACAATAATATTTAATAACCATAATAATAATAATAATAATAATAATAGGTAAAATAATGAAGGTAAGACTCAACAATTCCACGTCGATAATGCTTGTATGGGAGAATCGTTTTATGTCGACCCGTATCGTAGATAAACGCATTCTAAAGAGAATAATGTTCAACGACAAAAATTGGAACGCTCGGCGTTCACTTAAAAGGATATACCTATACGAGTTAAAAATGAGACTTAAAAGAATTTGAACTCTTGTGGGTGACATAAATCGCATATCTTCTGAATATTCGTATATAATAATTGTTGGGCTAATAATATATCAATGTCATAACTCATAATTCATGTAAATATCTATTATAAATATGTATATATTGTTTTCAAAAGGGATAATGCCATATACTTTATAATAAATTATTAAATTAATAAATAATTGAATTAAGGGGCCTTGCTACTGCAGTAAATTTGAACTCAAAAGATGTACGTTTTAACAATATCAAAGTTAGTTTACTTTGTCCAATTTTGATTCCGAAAAAAAAAGTTGAACTCGGCAGAAAATTGTCTATAAACTGTATGGAACATTTTGTAAAAATTAAATCGTATATTATTGTGAACTGTAATTAAAAACATGAAAATATGAATTTTCAAATCATAATTAAAATGAAAATGAAAAACTTCAAGTGTTTCGTACGATTTATTGACATTTTTTTGCTAATTCAAATATTTTTTCAGAATTAAAACCTGACAACGTTAACTAACTTTAATTTTGTCAAAACAATAAGTAAGTTGTAGTATGTTGTTACTTGTTAGGGACATATTATTATTAAGTACAAACAAAATTATATTTGTCGAGTAAAACACTAGTTACAAGTATTTTACTCTCAGATTTCAGTTGTTTGATTCCGCATACTATTTTAAGCAATATTTAAACATAAAAAAATGTACATTGTATCAGTCGAAATACATTTCAAATTAAAATATGATTAACCTGATAAATTGGTTATTTGTTCATAAAACAATTAAGAACAATCTAAATCTCAAATTAATTTTTCTTGTGGTTAACAAATTCAAAACTGAAATTTTAATCCAAAAAGTATTTGAGTATTGTCTCTGAATCCAATTGTTAAATGCTCTATTTGTTGACTCCTAAAAATAGTATCGTACAACATTTAGTACGTAATGTTAAAATGTTTACTTCACTTAGTTTGTTCCACTAGAGCGCGCTCAGTATTTCACATCGTAATAAATTTTAAGCCGTGGTACATCTTACCAATTCAATACATTTATCTATTTAATATTGAAAAATATAAATGTAATCCCTGTAAACGGTAAATACACTCAATTTAACATTATCATCATATTAATATTTTATTTTATTTTATTATAATTTACAATATTTTACAATTAAACAAAAAAAAAAAAAATTGAACCGGTTCGTATTTTGTGGTTATTGTATTTCAACGGACATGGGACAAAAATAACATTTTGGGATCTTCTATACAGGTCTCCACAATCTACACTCTGCAAATTACAATGCCTAGAGGCTAGAATTTGTGGCAAACACTACAATTTACAAAGTTAAATAATTATGTAATAAAAAAAATGTACAAAACCAACTGATGTTCTAATACGAATTTGTTCATCTGGAAGTAGTTTAAATCACAGTTTATACTTCAGCTAAAAATTATAATGCACCTTTTTTTTTTTTTTTTGAATCGTGGATAGGGAGGGAAATATGGATTCCCATTGCTGCCTCCCTAACCACATCGTTTATTTACAAACAAACAAATTAATTAATTACAATAAAATAGTATAACATAGAAATATACGTCGATAATCGACGACGATTACAACAAATAGGGAGCTCTAACCACCCTGGTATTGACCTTCGACCTACAGTAGTTAAACTAATTTCAAAAACCGATATTTTATTGACGTTCGTTCCTTTGGCGTTCTCTTTCAAGGGACTGTTTCTTTACCATTATACCTTCTACCATCTTGGTAAACAGCTTTGACAACTTTGAGGCAGTTTCCAGGATCCTTCCCCTCCGCACGTTGTCTGTTGGTAGCTGGTCGATTGGTGGACCACACAGTAGATCCTGAGCACCTACACCTACTTAGATATTTTGATATCATATAATACACGTTTACCTATAATGTGTTCTCATAGACCAAGGATTGTTTATTTTTTCATCAAAATGTTACTATTATTCACCACGTCTAATAATGTTACTCGAAAATAAGAACCCCCATTGTTATTCATATTTTTAAATAAGTAACTATAACTAAGTATGGCATTTCAGAAAACTAACAGTTCTTTTTCAAAAATGTAAGAACGATCTTTCAACTATGTATTATTAAACATCTCTGTAGAAGATAGCATTCCAATAATTAAGCAGTCTATAAGTTAGACTGTGTAATTATAATCTGCATTCAGTAGAACCATTTTTGTGTTGATAGCTTTTATATTACTATACAGTAAATTGAGCTATTATCAATCTTAAAGGTGAGATTATTATTAAGAGTCCTTAGTAGCCAGTTGGCAGTTACATTATCTCTTACAATCGTACATACTCTTACTCATGTAGTGTATGCTGATGACCCGAAATACAACTTTTACAGGTCTATGTATATAGTTGATTTCACTATGGATGTTTAAGTTAGATGTAGGTACAAATGATTTCTGGTCGAAAATAGTATTTTTGTGTAACGTAAGAACAGATGCTAAAGAGGGCGAATGATTTCACTAGACTGAAATATATGTATATTTCTTTAAATAAATGCTCTAAAACGGATTTAATGGTGACAGAAAAAAAAATGTGTGTAGTAAAATATTCTGTGATAAAATGTTTTTCATTATAAATAATTCGCTCAACTCATACACCCATTATATTTTACAGATACACACATCGATAGCAATTTCCGGTTTCCTCCAAAATTTAACATTCCCACGCCCATTAACAACTATTGTTATAACGAAAGACATTAAACCTTCGACTAAAAGTATTTAGTTCTAATTATTGAGAATATTTTCAATCGAAATTCTTTTTGGTCATTAATCGCTATGGGCTAACTTTCTCCCATAATATAAGTACAATTAATGCATTCTATGTTTTTTCGATTTATGTATAACCTTTTTTTTTTTAATAAAAAATAAAAAATAAAATAGGTACACGATTCTAAGTTTCTTTACATACCCCAAATAAAAAGAATCAAAAACATTGCCAAACTGTTTTATTTTTAAGTGTATAGTCAATTTTTTACAAAATCCATGAACATTTGTAAGTATAAAAAGGGAGGAAGTAGGTAATAGATATAACAAGTCCGCTCTGCTGTACTGTAGTTGTTGACGGTGCAATTGAATTGGCTCCCAAATCCAGGTAGTCAATATTTTACCCTTAATAAGTACCTTTTAATAAGCTCCCAAGAATTTACTATTGAATTGGATCCCTACCATTTTTTTAAAAATATATTGGTTACCAAAATGCTGTTAATAATTTTAAGTTAGACGTTATTTCCTCGAGTAGTTGAAGTNCCGCCAGTGTCATGGCCGACTGACTCAAGCAATTGTCCTATGCTGCCTATGTAAAATGTTATCAGTGTCCATTCTGATTGTTATATTCTGTGGTTGAAGTCGGTATGATCACAGAATATTAATATTCTTAATTTTGGTTTGCGGTATCACACGTTGGCTACTTTTAAAGGAGTTTTTAAGAATTTAACTTGTACATGTTAACTATAAAAATTAATTTTCCGTTTTTCGCTTAGTATTTTCTCAACAGAATTCATTTTTACACACTAGCGCCAACACAGCATATCTCCTAATGAACGACATTGTTGTCGAGGTCATCAAATTACTGCTGTAGATCACGACGGTTAAGATGATAAGACTATAAATTCAATAAATATTTATATATAATTATTATATAACAGTATAGGTATATCCAGTGCTAGACTATATTTGAATGCAAACTGCCTAGCTAGGTTAGGTTGACGTCGTAAAACTAAAAGTGTATAATATGAAAACCCCTGGTTGAATAATAATATTTCACAGTTTAGGGAACCAATACTATTATGCATTTTTCAATAGCCAATTCAAGGATCAAATTTATATTTACACAAAATTGGCAGCCAATTCAATGGAATCCGTTGTTTAAAGTACCTCCTTCGACCTTCTTTATAATGTACCAATATCGGGTTGCAATGTTGCATACTAAAAATGATTCTGATTTCTGAGTGAAGACAATCTATATCAGTCTATATTAATATAATAAGGACCTATGCATTTTATGATATTATATTAATATTTTACTATTAGTAATACGATAGGTTTAATTAATTTTTGCGAAAACTTTGCATTCATTATATTACTAGTTGTACAATTCGACTCCGCCCACGGAAAAATTACAAATGATTAATGAACAATTAATATAAGATACGGCGTTGTATCGGTGTATCTCAGTTCAAAAATGAAATTTTTTCGTACATTTCGCTCAAACTACTCTATAAATTTTCCTGGTTTCTCAAAAATTGTCGTCAAAATCGGTCGAGTAGTTTTTGAATCTATAGTCAACAAACGTATAGAAGAATCATTTTATAAACAAACTCTCATATTTGTTTTAAGATATAATGTGTTTATTAGAGGCGCAATGTAGATAATTGTATCTGTATCGTGATTCGTGGTCATAAACTCGACGATTTGATGCATGCTTTAACCTCATCAGCCCGAGTAACCAACGGCAACCATTTATACACAAAAAAATAAATATTAATTTCTACTATTACCTATAATTACAGCATGTAACCAATCATAACCATTTGCAACAAAAAAAGATTTTTGATTTCTATCGTGAATTTTGAAATCCTTGTGTGAGTACTGAGGAGTACCTCTTTAATTGCTAATTTTGGAAAATAATTTTTTAGTGCTCCCCTACATACTAATACAAAGGTACCATGGATATTTCAAAGCTATCGTAGTTTAGACTCAATGTTGATCAGACAGACAGTCGACAGTCAGTATACGTTCGATTATATACATTATAAATATATAATAGGTAGATTAATATTTAATATTATAATTTATAATAGCACAAAATATTTATATCAAATACCTATTATTGTTATAATCTTTTGAGTTAATACCGACTTACCGTATAGAAAGGAATATGAATAGTTTCGTGGTATAGTATAGACGTATAATCTTTATGTTTTGAATATGTTATATAGTTGAAACTTTTTAGAGTTTAAGGTAATACAATGGCGTATTTACGGGGGGATCAAGGGGATCAATCCCCCCTCCCATAGACTGTATACACACAATTAATTATAGTCGTTACTCGTTATAATTTGACGATTAAACATGATTTATTAAACATTTGGTTGATTTATATTCCCCCGCAATTGATAAAAACAATATTATTGCTGAACTCAAGATGTGGAAATTGAGATTGGCCTCTAGTGACTTAAACAGTTAAACCTAACTAAAAATGGATTAGAAGCTTTAGACAATTGCGATGAAGAAGTATATCCGAATATCCATTTTTTATTAAAAATATTTGTTAGTTTGCCTGTTTCAACAGCAACTCCAGAGAGAAGTTTCTCTAGTTTAAAACGCCTCAAGACCTATCTGCGTAATACAATGAAAGAGGTTTAATATAATACAATTATATAATATAATAACATTATTTGTTTTAGACACGTTTAAATGGATTAACACTATTGTCAATTCATCGAGACATACGTGTATCAGTTGAAGAAGTTATAGATGAATTATCAAAAAAAGCAAGACAATTAGATTTTGTAATGTAATAACAAATAAGTAGGTATTCGATTTTGGTTTAATAAAACAATTAATCTCAAGTAATGTGTTGTGTATTATAATTTTGGCAAACATAGAAAGTATATTTAATATTTATAAGCTTTTATAATTCCTGCACTAACTAACTGCACCTCTAACTGAGGTAATAAATATAAAGGTAAGTCATACATTTTTAACTACAAATAATATGATAAATTTCATCAAAATTGTAACTTTAACGTTAATATAAAAATATTGTGGCTATGAATTTTGTTTTTTTAATTGGTAAAACTATTTATTAACATTTAAAGAAATAAAACAAAAAACAATTAAAATTGAAAATGTGTATTATGTATTAATAGCTGCTCAAAACGAGTCAAAATAATAAAAAAATTATACCACGTGTAAGAAATTATAATATTAACATTACTCTCAAAAGTACCAACTAGATCCAATGTTCAATCAGAAATCAATTTCAAAGTTGAAATTCAAAGCATTTTTACAGCCCCAAAAGATGAGCCATTGGCAAAAACATCAACAACTTATATTTGTAATTAATAATTACTAGGTAGGAAATTCTAGATGGGTAAAAGTTAATCTTTAGCAATTGTATTTATTTAACCTTTGATTTTCAATTTGCAATTTATAAATAAAATGTCAAACATAAATAGAAAAAAAGGCGAATGCATTTGTAATTCTATTATGGGTTAAAGTTAGACTATAGCCATTAATGATCAAAAAGAATTTTGATTGAAAACATGCTCAATAATAATTAGAACAAAATACTTTTAGTCGAGGGTTATAATAGCTTCATTATAATTTTTAACAACGTTAATCGATGTAGAAGTTTTGAATTTTGGCGGAAACAGGTAATTACCATCGACGTGTGTATTTGTCAATTACAATTTACAATAAGTGTGTGAGTCTAGCGAATGATGTGTAATGAAATATATTTTAGCACAAAATATTATTTACAATACACATTATTTTTTCGGCACCATTATCATCTTCGTTCTAGATCATTGATTTCATTTAAAGATAATTTTAATGAAATACAATCGTATATTGGCGTGTGTTGTGTTTATTAGAATAGGTGTGCGAATTATTATTAAAACTTAAAATATTTTCAAACTGAGAATATTATAATTTTAAATGTTAATACACATAAATATTAAATAGTCGTAATTTTGTTTATATTTACCTATTTTATTTTTATAGTAAGGTAACACGACTGTACACATACCTACACAAAACAAAATAATATACATCATTGCAAAATACTAAAATTAATACGTCTGTCTATCCACTCATAATCTAAATAAATGTATATAGAACTAGAACAGCAGTATAATACAAATCGAAATCTGAATTCTCATTAATATAATTATTACAATATGATGCCTACGCGTAGATATATACCAATAATATTATGTATTTTTGGCCAAATTGCGCTTATGCCAAGGGGCCGACATCTCCGTCTTTGAATCCTTGATTTTTAGTTGCTCGTATTTTGTAATCCAAACTTTGGTCTCAGTAATCTGCTTATTGATATAAATATATAATTCGCCCTGACGCTGTAGTGTAGCAGAAGTCATCGCACTGCATGCACAACAGGAAACTCTTGCGATCACCATCACGTACTCTTCGAAATCGCTATTTATGACCTTCATCCGGTTGCCCTCTTCGACCTTTGCGACCAACAACCGTTCTTGTCGGGCATTGGCGTCGATGAGCTGTTCTGCAGCAATTAGAGTGAGTAATAGAGTAATAAGTAATAACTTATAGATAATACGTGGACCTTTACAATTCTGTGCTGAAAATAAAAAAAACTATTTAAGTTTATTTTACCAATATTTAAAACCGAATTTCTTATTTGCGCTCCCAGTAATTAATGTTGTCATTTTTTCTTATGTATCTTTGATGTAGATATTCTAAAGTAAATGTGTGTCCGCAAGTTGTTTGTAATCCCCCGAACCTAAGTTAAAAAATGAGAGTTGTAGCACGACGTGTATATGTTATACTAGAAACCGAACATTCCCATTTAAACGTATTTTGATGTTATCGTCGGATCGAGAATGTCATAGGCTATGTTGCCATGTTGGTAATTTTCATAATGTTTCAGTTATAACTTATAAGCAAAAAATACTCTATATTTTATAATATTTTTGCCACCGTAATAAATAAACTAACCTAACCTAACCTTGGACCAATAATCGAAAGAAAAAAATATATACTGTAGCAGAAGGCCAATAATTCTGATTTAAAAAAAAAATTGAATTTATTTTCTTCTTTTTTGTGTTTTGTAGAAAATGAATTTTTTGTTTTATTTTTTTTATAAAATGTTTATAAAATCGTTATAAAATTATATTATTGTGTATGGTTGGTAAGAATGTACCTACCATATACTACCTAGGCCTTAGGGTAGCGTTTCTCAAAGTGTGGGTCGTCAGTCAATTTTTTTTTTTTNTGAATTATATAGATTCCAAGAAATTTATGTTAGGTACCTCATTCAGAAAAAGTACATTTTAATTATAGTAATTATATTTTTATTCTTATTAATTATAAACCTATAAAAAATCTAAATACCTAATAAAAATGTATACATATTTATATAACACAAATTTTGTTATTCACAAATAGTTGAAAAGTGAAACAATGTGGGTCGCGAAAGATTTTTTGGGGGAAATTTAGGTTCTGGTATTAAAAAGATTGAGAACTACTGCCTTAGGGTACATGAAGAGGCCCCCATTGTTCGGTAATGAATCTGAAACATTCCTTTACTAGTTAAAATTAACATTTTCAATATTTTTTTTTTTTTTAATGTAACTTATCGATGGTGTATACTTTTTAGTTTAGTGTGGAAATTCGCTCGGAAATCCTTTCATCCAGAATTCAAAAACAAGTAAAATATGTTTTATTGACGTTTTCTCTCGATGTTTTTCGTAGTTAAATAGACAGGCCTAATGCTTCTTTATATCTTTCTATATGTTCTGTACTCACATTTTTAAAAAAAAAATCCAAAAAATTGCTTTGAATTACCAATAAATTGCTACATTAATTTCTTAAGTTTCAATGCGTATACCGCTACACAGTAATTTTTAGAAAAATCAGATTTCTTAGTGCTCTTGTCGGACAATGCCCGCATTAAATACCGTCAAATTACGACTCACTTTTCGAATCCGAGTGACTACACTGTAGCTCAAACTAAACATCTAACGGTATCTGGCGTACCATGTTAGAAACAGATTTACGATATATACCTACAGGGCTATCTGCTGTCGAAAAATAACGTACTTACCGAATATAGAAAATTAGTGTTTTTAATCATCTGAAATTCAGTAGGTTAGAGAGGGAGAGTAGCTCACTAGTTCACTGGTCATTTTTACATAAATAGATGTGGCTGATTCCGTACAGTGTCCTCAAAAACCAAAAGTATTTTTAATTGGATCACCTTATGGATGAAAAAACAGTTTCAATGCCCATACATAATATTTTAATTATTCGATTACGTTTAAATGAATAAATATATTTCTTTACTCAACACTTCAAAGTATAATACATATTTATGAGCAAAGTATAAAACCTGGTAATAAATACCTTAGTTTATCTCATGTATATAAATGTAATAAATATTAAATACGAAGTTCAATAAGCCCAATAATTTACATTATGATACTATTGATACATCTTTATTTTTCATGTATTCAGGCAGGCATATATACCTACAGTGTTGTAAAAAATACTTTAAAAGGATTTGAGTAAAAAAATCTCTTTAGTCTGAAATAATTTGTTATAGTAAAAAAATTGTTTATTGCATTTTATAAACATGATTCGTTCAATAATCAAAAAACTGATCAGTCATGTTAGTTCTTTTTTAGTGATAGTTGCACCACAACAATGAACTTTTTCCTACATAGTTATATATTTTTAAAGATATATTATGTATTTGGATATCCTATACCACCATCGATCTTCGTCGACGATAAACAATATTAATAATTGATAACCATTTTCTTGTAAATAAGTAATAGGTACTTATAATTAGTAATAATATTTTCGCATTCCGAAATGGTAAGTAGTTATAAATCAAATCATAGCCTTATTTATATTGGACGATAAACTATTTCCTGGACAAAAAAACATTTAATCGACGAAAACCTATATCAAATAGTCCATAAATGATAAATATATAACGTTGAAGCATAACCACGATTATTATATAAGCAACAGGGTATGATCGTAAAATTCCAGATTTAGATCAAGTCCGCTCATACGTCTCTTACTTATCAATATTATCATATTGTCATTCAATTATTACTGCTATACATTACGTCACGTGCTTACCGAAGGATCTGACCGTCGAAAAGTTACGACCATACCTTGTTTATATCATCACCACCACGATGGCACGGTATTTTTATTTAACAAGAATTATGAATGAAAACAAATTAAGAATTTGTGGCTTGGGGTGGAGCGTTGACTGCTACCAGCCGCGGAATGCGACTGGGAGTAAGTAACGGCCACAACTACTAGCTCCCGGATGGGTGACCACCCGGGTTCGTATAGTATTACTATAGTAGTTAAAAACCTTGCCAAACATACAGGTGTTTGCTATCTACCGTAACAACCTTAACAATCATAAAAACAACCTACTGTACCAACCTTACCCCTACTACAGTTCATAACCACTACAACAGCTAATGACCTTAGTCGCCGGGCTTAAGTTCAATGAAAAAAAAAAATTAAGAATTTAAATAACAAAAAAAGTATTCAATAAAATAGTATTCAATAGTAAAAAAAAGTGTTTAAAATACCATTCAAATACTTCAAAATAAAAAGTATTTAAGAAAGTATTCAATACGGAAAAAAGTATTTGAATACTTTAACTCAAATACTTTACAACACTGCATATATGCGTAATCACTATACATCTGCATGGTGTTGTGTTTCGATAGTCGGTATAGTCGATAATTAATTACTTGAAAATTATGTACAAAATACGTACTATACA